CCTGCCCGCGGGGGGGGGCTCGGTTTTTGTGCAGTTAACAGAAAAAGCAACCGAAAAGCTTGTGTCTGTACACTGGTGCTATATTTACATTTATTAAACACTGCAGACGCTTGTAACCAAGGTGATGGAATCAGTTGACCATAAACATGAACAGTGCTGCTACGTTCCTGGTACAACCCGACCCACGTGGACATTAGGACGGAGGGTCTGTTCTCTAAGCAACCATTAATGCTAACCATAGTAAGTAATTGTGTTTTTATCAAGAGAAATGATGGAGTGGGACAGAGCAGCAGGCATGCGAGGAATCCACTCACAGCAACTCCCTGCAACACACCATAAAGGATGGAGCAGAGTGAAGATTCCATGGCCCTGCTCCGTGATGATAAAGCGGGAAGAAATGGTCCTCTAGAACTGACAAGCAGCTCATCTGGCCCCCTGAGCCAACAGGCTTTCAAAACCTTGCCAAAGTGCTATCCTTTCGTGAACTTTGCTTGTTTTAATATCATTTTAACACCACAACACACCTCCATCCTGAAGGCTACCCGCCTCTGAGGTGCGACCACCCCTCTTACGTTCGGTGGAATTATCCCCCATGCATCCAGCGCTGCAATAAAGAATGCCTGCCTTTTAACACTGCATTGGTGTAACGAGGTTTATTCCTGGATTTTCGGAGACACGCTCACTACAGCTGTGGTGCCGGCACCGATTCTGCTACGAACAAGGGGGATCGCGCAAGTGAAATCTGCAACGACGAGCACCAGCTGCACCCATGGCTCCCGCGTCGGTGCCTGCCCAGTTCACACACCAGGCCGCATGGCCGCCTCTGCTGCCACGGCAGGCCCGCGCTCACCTCCCGCCCCCCCCCGCGCCAGGCCAGCCCCCTCCCACGGGGCCTGCGCACCATGCTGACCTGGGGCCCACGCACCGTGCTGACCCAGAGCCCGCACCTTAGGGCCAGCCACAAGCAGCTGTCCTCCTGCTCAAGTTTTTCGATAAACATGAAGGTCCAGGGTATTTATTTTGCATGGAAAAATCACACACGCACGTTGAGTTCACTGTGGTTTCATCCAATGCAAAGACCACCTTCACACTCCGGTGATGTTGTCCTTCAGATCTCCACCCGTCTTTGAACAATCCTCAGCTGTGGAGATTTCCAGAAGAAACAAATTTGCTTTATTTCTTTTGCTCACCTGCCCAGCCCACGCATTTCAAAGGGCATCAGAGCTCAATCCCCCACACCTCTTTACAGTTTAGAGTCTTTAAATAAATTACCCTGGATCCTTAAATAGCCCTCAGTGGGATGGCTGACAAGGCAAAGCGCTGAACCCATGCACACGTGAGGTTCTGGCACAGTAAGGTGACACGCAGACATCGAAACAAGAACCTACACACAGCACAGAGCTTCGCATCAAAGCTCAGTCGTGTGCCACCTGCTACCAGCAGTCAAACGTGAGAAACAGAACAAAAAAATGTGAAAGAACAAAAAATGTTGAAAATGCTTATGATCAAGAAAAAGAAATATCATAAACTCGGGGCTTACCTGCTTGGAAAGCTGCTTCCATCATATCTGACAGACCCAGTAACACCAAATTGCGGTCTGGTGGCAGTGCCGGTGCGGGACCTTCCCACCACACCCTGCGGCAGCCCTGCGCTGTCCCTGCCTCATGCCAATGTCTGACAGCTGCTTCTGCTGTCATTTCATGAGCGGGACCGGGGAACTGATCCGGCTCACACAGCCTCTCTGCTCCCCGGGGCATTTCTTTACCCGCATCACCGCTACCAGACCACGCAGCCCCGCAGCAGCTGAAGCGGAACTGGGTGAGGGGCAGCAAAGGCGTGAGCAGAAACGCTCCTCACAGCCACCTCCTCGGCACTGGGAAGGCTTTGCCATCTTGTACTTCATGTCCTTCCTTTCAGCTTCTCTCCCCCTCCTCCATCTTGCTCCTAATTGTCATAAAACCCCCAAAAAAGATGTGTATTTTGAATATCTGAACCCAGACAGGCGAGCCCAGCGTTAGCGGGGAGCTGACGCACGCACAGCGAGACAACGCAGCTGCCCCTTGCTCCCTCCGGGAACCAGGCCAGCAACAAGCCCCGCACCACAGGATCTACACAAGCTACAAGGTGAGAGCAAACCCTGAGAAGTCACTGCAGTAACGATGCAGTCGAGTGCGTTTGTGTTGCTGCCCACACGGCAGGATGCAGAACAAGAACCGGGGAGCAGGCAGGCGACAGCAGGGTCAGAACACCGGCCACTGACGTGCTACCTATGGACTCTGCTTTCTGCTGGCACTGGCACTGCCGTTCTGCGCTGGGAGCCTGCCTCCCAGTGAAGAGGTGACAAAATGATGACCTTCCTCCCCATCTCGAGCTGCTTTCTGGACAGAATTCTAAGATCTCTTCTTACGTTTTGAGATAAATAATAAATAAATCAATCCAATGGACCACTTAGCATTCAATTTCTCCATGCATAACATATTTTGACAAGTCTCTTCAGTTGTCACCTTTGCTCAAGTCATAGTTTAGCGCTTTTAGACAGGACTGAATGGTATTAAACAAAACAGGGAAGTGTGCATCTCGGGGGTATGTCAGCAAGACACACATCTTGAATCTGACTTAAAGAAAACGGTTACATGGTAAGGCTGTTCTCTGAAAAAAACCATCAACACCTGTGCATCAGCCAAAGAGCTCACTGCAAAGCCACGCAGAGTCTCTTCTCGTTTCTCACAGGCCCTGCCAGTGTGAGAATGGCCAAGTGAGCACTGCCTCAAACTGCCTCGTACCACAGAGCACTGCTCTCCTTCCGGAGCGCAAGCGCACACCTTCGGCTTGTGCTCTGGGGCTGCGGCCTGACACTGCTTCCCTCACTCCCAGCCTGTGCTCTGCTCCGCTCTGGCATCTGAAGGTAGAATGGGAGGCATCCTGTAACCACCCGTGATTTCTGGACATGACAACCTAGTCGCCCAAGTGATACTGCTCCGTGTGTACCACACACTGAGCCTGTGGCAGTGAATCATTTCTACAGCTACCTGTGGAGTACCAAAGATTTCATCTTAGGCCCAGCAGTCCATAGAAATGCAGAGTATTTTGTTTGGCTTTACTCACCTTAGCACCAGATTATAGTTCCACCCAGTGATTAATTAAAATAAATCTGTTTTTCACAGTAGTTCCTATGCAGCTGCACAAAGTATTAGAAGACAGAGTCATCTGAAAAGTTTCACAACAAAGAATGCTTGGACTGAAAAACACACGGAAATCCTGTTACCACATTTATATTTCTGAATTGTTTAAAATCTAGACAAATGATACTTAGTTTTTAATGATGTGCGCTAAGAGATTGTATTAGACATCTCATTGATGAGGTAATTGGTACTGTTACGAATGCTGCCTCTGCTGTTTTCTGTAGCAGCAATATGAAAATTAGGTGTTTACACGTTATACACACAGACACAGCCATGTGACCGCATAGCGCTGGGAAGATTACCCACTGCTTCCCATTTATTCAGTTCAGGGTTGTATTTCTCAATACTCTGTAGATATGTTCCTTTCGAATAGGAATATCCTCCTGTCACATAGATGCATCCGTTCATAACAACCGCGCCACACTCCATCCTCCTCTCCATCATGTGAGCCATCTGCTTCCACTCGTTCTGCTCGGGGTCGTAGCACTCTGCGATCGTGGTCTGTCCGCCCACAAAATAGATCTTGTTTTGTAATGCGATGGAACACAATCCGTACTCTTCAGGAAGAAAGGAATACAGGTCAACTCAGCATGATAATGTTAACTTAAACTGCAGATATGTGATAAACACTGGGCACCTCTGAAGGCGGCCGAGTCTCTTCACTGAACTTAGGAGACACCTCGGGGTTTTCTGCTACGCTTGGTAAAAAGCAAGCTCAAGGCGTCCCAGAAGATACAGACATGAGCACCAGTACTTGGTGAGAACTGCTCTAAAAACTTACCGTTACCAAATGTAGGACATAGAGAAAACACTTTTAAAATTCATATAAAGTATATTTGCCAACCACTCCTTAGTTCAGTATTCATATAGTGATTTCTATAGAACAGATGCTTGAAGAGGGTCTTCCCTTCCCCTCCCAGAGTCTGGAAACGGGAGACAATCCCACTCTGGCCCTTGTGGTCCTACAGGCATCGCTCCTTTTATTAGGAACATGCCAGAAACTCTTCAGTGGACTTCAGGGCTCCTACATACAAGTAATCAAATCAAGCTCTACGCTCGTTACAGAAACTATTGTTTACCTGGATGTGGACTTGTGGTGACTACACTCCACTCCTTGCTACCCGAATGGTAACTCTGGATTTTGTCATAGGTGCAGCTTCCCCTGTACCCATAGTGACCTCCGGCTACGTAGATGACTTCGTGCAGGACACAGGCGGTGGCATTTCCAACACCTGCGCACAGTGTGAGAGCCGTAACACACCTTCAGACTGTACACAACAACCGCGGTCACCTTCATCCATAATCTCATTTCAGATGACTTGTTAATTAGTATTTTAGGGTGAAAATGCGCTTGCAAGCATTTAACTGAATGCAAAATTAAACTTGTCAAGACACCTTATTTGATCAGCGTAAGTCAAGAGCAATTAAACTGCAGTAACTGATACATATTGCATATAATACAGCCACACAATATTTCACTGAATTTTTATGCAGTAATTAAATGCACATTGTCACATTGGTTTTGGAATAGGGAATTACTTTCAATATTTCACTGAGTTAAAGAGATTTTTAATGGTCACTCATATGGCAAGGACAAAGACAATGGGAGTTGAGATCATTCAGTGTCTCAGGGTATCTCTTCTGATGCTGAGTCTTTCTCACGGTATCACTAGTTAGGCTACTGTATAAACAAGGACACAAATAGAACGCAGCCATGTTAACTCTGTCTCTAGGAGAACAAAATAAAATAAAACAAGGGATCTGGCAAGATAAAATGGACCAAAATTAGCAAAACAGTGTAGTTTTTTAAGCACTTAAAAGTTTAATGCAGCAAACAGAACAAAACAACTGCACAGAATGTGTAACTGCTCACAGTATTAGCATAGCATTTCTATTTTCAAAGGAAATATAAAGAGAATAATAGCAATGTTTGTGGAAAATACACGAACAATGAAGAAAGCTGTAGGAGTGCAAGTGTTTTTTCCTGTTAACAGGTACCTCCAAAAACTCTCACATATGTAGAAAAATACTATGATGCATTAACTTACAGTAGAATTTCATACTTCATTGTAAATAATTAACTTATAAAAAAATGTATGATAAACTGTGCAATTGTTTATAAATTTTATTAAAAAGTAATACCCTTTAGTTAGGCTGTGATCTAAATTCATACGTTTTTAACAGATCGTTGTTTTGGCTGCTGGAAACAAGTATTAGTGCTTTTCATTACCCTCACACTAAAGATAAAACTAAGGACCTTGAACTGATGATACACTGAAATATGAGGAAACTGCATGCAGGAAGTTTTAAATGAAGACGACACCTTGATAAAGGATTGCACAGAAAATATTAGTAATCTGGTCTCGTATTAAAATAATACAATCCCTTTATTGGAGCTTGCTCTTTGACCACCTACTGAACGGACTCTAATCCCAGGCAGTTTTCTGATTTCTTTCTAATTTGAACAGAAATTTTACTCCTGAAAGAAGGCAAAATTAAACTTGAGACTACCACTTGCTTTCCCGCCCTAGTGTTCTGTGGCACAGCCCAGCATAGCGTTTGTATGTTTGCAGTCGTCTGGATCGTAAAGACCTGAACCAAAGGCCCCCCCCCAACATTAACTCGAGATTCCCATGGGCTTCACTAGAACTTAGATCAAACCTTAAACGTTTCCACAGCACTTAAAAGTGGCAAACGTGAAAGGATCAACATTTGAGGCAGACGCTGTACAACAGCTTACCTACCTTTGATCATGTTTGCAATAGGAAGCCATTTCTTTTTTAAAGGATCGCAGAGCTCAGCTTCTTGCATGGGAGCTCCCTTTCGGTAACCGCCCAGCGCGTAGACGCAGCCGCTCAGGGAAACGGCGCAGTGGTAATACCTCGCGTCAAGCATGGGACAGCCTTCTGTCCATTTGTCTCTCTCGCTGTTATATATCCACACGGTGTCCAGGGCTTCGATGCTCTCCGTTCTGTAACCTCCCGTCACGTATATGCCTGGTCCCAAGCTGGTGACCCCATAGCTCTCTCTGGTGTGATCCGGCATCTCTGCTCCCTGGAGCCACGCGCTGGTTAAAGGATCCCAGACGTGCACTTCTGATAAGGGATGCCAATAATATCCTCCGATCACATACATGGCTGCTGTGGGTCTTCTGGAAAGACCTTTGGGACTGGGCTTCAGGGCACTGTATATCAGTGACCTTATCTTATGGTCGTTAAGTCGGCATTTTTTTTGTAGGCTTAAAGCTGACCTCAAATACATGTTATCGAAGTCTACTCTGACGCAGCTCAGCAGTTCATAGATGTCTTCAATTCTTTCTTCCACGTTGTGGGCGACCCACTTAACGACAGCTTCAATGGCTGCCTCTTCTTTCCAAACGTTGAGATTCTCTCTGGAGAGAATATAGCAAAGCTTCTCCTTGCCAATGTCCAGAAACTCCTCCTGCTTCCACACCTCTTCGAACTGCCATAGCAATACCCTCCGAGACTCTTTTTCCAGCTCTGGGCAACCGTGATGCTCGGCGAAGGAGTGCATCCCTACGCAGTTGCCAGCGTCCAGGTGCCGCACCAGAAACCGCTCGCAGGCTTCCTTCACCGCCGCGAACTGGAGAAGGTCCGCAGCCTGGAGCAGGCTCTGGACGTTTCCCTGCGTTATCCGGATCTGCGATGTGTACGCGTAGTTCACGATGGCTTCCAGCACGGCGTGGCTGAGCCCGGGCAGCCTGACCTGGTGCGCAGATTTCTCTTTCATCTCGGCTGTGAACATGGCCCTGAAGTAGCGGCTGCAGGCGGCCAGGACGGCCCTGTGGCAGCGGAC